AAACTATGGTTTTAGAGAGGAAAAAAATGAAATGGAAAATGTTTGGGAGAGTAGAGGGGGAAAAATATCTCTAGAATGTATAAGGTGTTGTTAAAATGGTATACAGAGGAGGAAACAGTAAAAGAGCAGATGATAAAATGGGCTATTAATATGAACAAAGAAATTGATATTGAAACCTGGGAATATTTGTGGAAAAACTCTATTAAAATATCGGGCTGTACCAATGTTAAAGAAAACTGTTATAAAATGATGTATAGGTGGTACATGACCCCAAAGAAAATTGCAAATATGAACCAGAATATGTCAAACAAATGTTGGAAGTGTAAAAAACATGAGGGCTCATTTTATCACATGTGGTGGACATGTGAAAAAGCTGTGGACTATTGGACAAAGGTCCACAGTGAAATGCAAAAGATACTGAAATGCTCTTTTAAAAAAGCGCCTGAAATTCTGCTTTTGGGACTTAAAATGGAAGAAGTCAACACGACGAAAAAAACTTTACTCTGGTACTTAATAACAACAGCAAGAATGATTTATGCACAATTTTGGAAAAATGAAAAAGTACCAGAGACCGAAGACTGGATACAAAAAGTTCTGTTCATGGCTGAAATGGATAAAATTACAAAAAAACTGAGTAATAAGGAAGACGACGTATTTTTAGAAGAATGGAGTGACTTTAAAATATATCTGGAAAAGAACTGGGATGTAAAACAAAATTTAATATGTTTAGAACAATATTAGGTTAATTGATGTTATCTGGAGACAGTAGTAATAAGAAAAATGATTTAACTGACGACGTATTATAATGTGGGTGGAAGGGTGGAAGCATTGCGGGAAGCCACAGGAGGAAGGGGAGGTAAGGGGAACGGGGTAAACGAAGGGAAAATGAAAATGAATATTGTTGGATGTTAAGTTCCTATTGAAAATAAAAAGTTTGTTTACCAAAAAAAGGAGGCAAGAGGCAGGAAGCAGGAAGTGAAGAGCCTCTGAGAGAGCTGGGGGGGGGAAGCAAGCTACGGTGTGGCTGCAGGAGCAGCCCTAGTAAAGGAAGCAGGAGAAGGAAGCTTCTTGGGGGGCGGTTTTGAGCCCTGTGCAGGCCGCATCTGGCCCACAGGCTGCACGTTTGACATCCCTGCTCCAGGGCACTTGTTGGCTTCTGTGTGAAACCAGATGCTGAGCTAGATGAACCATGGATCTGAACAACAGGGCTCTTATGTTTGTGTAACAAACATGAGAGGCATGTACTGTGTTTTGGAATCTATTAGCAAAAAAAAAAGTTTATAGCCCTTGTGGTTGTGAAGACTCATTGGAAAAGTGTCTGCAGAAGACTGTAGTGTTCAGAAGGCAGAATTTACATGCTGTGCAAAAGTACAGAGCTTACTGTTAGCCCTTAGTCCCAAGAACTATTTTTCTCCACTAGTCTTCCTTCTGAAATGGCTTCTTGCCAAAATGTTTCAAATTACAAAATTGTATGATTTCCATATAAAATACTGTAATAATAGGATAGCATTGAAAATCTGAAGTATTATTGGAAACGTGGCATGAATCTAATAGTTAGTTTTTTATAGTTTCTGAGCAATCAGTGATGCCATGTAGTTTGCACACCTGCACCTTGGAGTGCAGGTTATTTGCCAACAAAGCGCGCACTGTGTTTTGAGAAATGGAGGCTGCCCTCCTTTTAACTTTGGTTTTGTTTGCAGCTGAAGGAATCTAAGCGAGCAGTAAACAGCCTGCGAGATATTGTAGATGATGACGATGATCTTGAGAAGTTCAGCTGGAGTGGGGAGCCCGTGGGCAGTAAGTGCAGGGGAACCCGAAGTGGATGTGGGGAGGGGGATATGTACAAAAGCATAATTATTTGGACTGATACTCATGTTTAGCTCTCAGTCAAATGTGTTTGAGTTCTGTCCACCCTTCTTTCATTCCCGGGCAGAAAGTATGCAAGGACAGACAAATGAAGGGAATGGAGTCACTAAAAGTGATCACAGAAGGTAATCCTGGTGATCCACTTGATGAGAGAAAAATCCAAACAGGACCTTGATTACACTCTCTTCTTAAGACTGAGATAGGGTTTGATGCTCTATCCTCTAAGCATTGTTTTTCTCAGTTTAATTTTCTGTTCTGCTGAACATCCTGCCTAAGCGTTCTGTTTAACTTGAAGGGCTGTAAAGCACACCGTGAATCTGGGCCTAATTTAAAATATTGTTTTACTGTTCTATTTTTGCATATCTATAATTTTAGTAAGCAAAAAGGAATACTGGCTATTGTCATCAATCATCTTCCCATCCAGATGGAGGAAACTAGACATGATAGGTGCTTTTGTCCTCCGCTGCACAAAGAGGTTCTTTCCGGAGTCAGAGTCTCTGCAGTTCATGGTCCACTGCTTTGCTGTGTTTAACTTGAGTCCTTCATGCACCGCTGTGTTTTTCTATGGACATGTAAACATCTCAAATTACTACCCTGCTGTTGTGCACATCATCACTTAAAAGTGATGAATTTAAGAGCTCCAAACTTTGATGGGGCTTCTCGATTATCTTTCATTTCACTTCAACTTTTGATTTTCCTCTAGAACATGGAAAGAAATTGGACAAGTTTAGCATTATCCCAGTTCACACAATGTGACAAGATCTGGGCACTGCTGTAGGATTTCAAGTGTGGGTTTTTATAATTTGTTGTTGTGAGTTGCCTTCAGGGTTTGATAGCAGAACAGGCAGGTTATAAATGTCTGAAATCTATGTAATAAACATAGTTGCTAAGAGAATTTTTAAAGGTTATGCTCTTTCTCTCCCCCACCCACCCCCCATCATAGGCATTTCCTGGTCAATCAAAGAGACTGCATCTGCCAACAGTACCCCAGAAGGAAGTGATCTGGGCCCGCAAAAGAGCTCTTCCTCCGCTGCATCTTTCCCCAAACAAGCCTCTTCCTACTCGCTAAGCAGCTTTTTCAAAGGTAGAATCTCCCTGTATAGAAACCTAAGAACTGGGCACCAGGAGGCTGACCTTTGGGCCCAGTTTAAAAAAGACATCTCCATATCCCTTATGTTCTTAGTGATTGACACTGTCTTTTATTACAGCATCCGTGAGTCTCATTTGGACAAATATGCATAGTGAACATTCTTGGTGATTAACCCGCAATAGTGGAATTTTCTTTCTGTGTCTCAGAGGCTTGAGAGTTTTTCAGAAACCTCTCAAGATGGGGGGCAGGCAGGGGCCCTGGCTGGTGGCTGGCCTGCAACCATTGGGGATGCTTTAATCTAGCCAGGTGGGGTTGTAATGTGTTAATCATTTGTCAGTTTTTTTTAAAAAAATAGGTACTCTTTGTAAAGTTGTATTAACAGTTGATACTTTCAAGCCTTCACAGAGCAGCAGTTGAAATTAGATTAATTTTTTTTTCATGACTAATTTTTCAGTCTGATAGGAGGATAGCATAGAATTTACATCTTTTGGCATGCACACATTCCTGTGTTGTAGAGACAGGCTTACTGTTCACCTTTTGAAGGTACAGTTTCCACAACTCCTTGGAGAAATGTCTGAGCTGAAAGCTTTCCAAGTCTTCTTTATTAAGTTCCTCACTGTGTTGCACGACAGCCTTCCGTTTGGTAGAAGAAAGTAGAGCTGCCTACAAGAACTTTGCACTTCAGTGCTGCTAAACTCAAATTCCCCATTCCCAAGTGGGCCTACATTTTGTTCCATCTGCTTCCGTTCTTCCTGTATTATATATTAAGCAAGTCAGTATAGGCATACGAACACATCTGGGGCATATTCATGTAGTGCCTGATCTCAAAAGCCACACCGTATCCCTATACAGCTTGGTGGATGTCACACATAGCAGACAGGAGTGGGGAAAGCACAGGAAACACTCCCCTCTCCCAGCTGTGGCTCTACCTACATGAACTGGGGAGTACAGCCTGGTGTAAGAGTTAATAGAATAGGTAAAGCACAGACATAATTAAGGAGCAGTTCCTCTTCCATCATCTTTTCAGCCTTTAGCTTTCCGGTAGGAAATTGTCCTGAACTCACAAACAAAAACATTTGGGAAGGAGGTATATATTGTGTGAATGTCCTTGAAAATGATCCATCATTTGTATGTAGGCCTAGCTAAATGATGCTTTTCAGGTATAAGGAAATGGAAATATTTCTGTGTTTTCTTTCAGGAAGAAACAAACATGGGAGTTTTCAGTCACTATCTGATGGTAAGTATTTAGATTTTTACAAGTGGAGGACCCACGGACTTACAGGGGGCATCTAATTTCCATCTCTCCTCATATCCTCTTTCTCTTTCTTGAAAGCTCTCATAGATTTTCCCCTTTTCCTGCTTCCTTCTCTCTTTCCCCCCCCCAGCCAACCTACCTTTATCTGCCCCTCTGTCTTCAGCTTTCCCTAATTCCCTTCCCCTGACCTTCTCTCTCCAGGAAACCTATGGCCCAGTTGCACTGTGGGAAACCTGCAAGGACTTGCGGGAGGTCCTTCACTTTCCCCTGTATTCCCTCCCCACAGTATGTCCAGATTTAAGTATCTTCAGATTTAGCTGAGCTGACTGTTAGAATATACAAGCACTTTTGGGGGGGATTTTGGGGGGAATTATGCAGTACTTACTGTCCTATCAAACCTAAACTAATTTTACTGCTTTAGCAATATAAAATACATCAATTGTAATTTACCTATCACATAAAACTGCAGCATTTGACATATTTATGGGGATAAGAAGTTGTAATTGCCATAGTTTTATACAAGCAAAATTGCAGATATACTCAATACTTGAGAGAAAGCTGCAAGATGAAGCTCCCTATGCTATCTTAGCACATATACCTTAACTTTTGCTGTCTCATTAGCGAGAACTAAGTTCTCAATGAAACTTTTCCTCTGAGGCTTTGATGCAGTTTCTGCCCTACCTCCTAATCTTTTTTTCTCCCTCCTGAAAGTTAGGACAATAAGCTAGTTTTTATCTGGTCTGTGGGTAAATGTGTCACAGTGGTTTGTGGGAGAAGAAAAAAGGTCAACCATATCAGGTTAAACGGATAACAAAAGACATGGAACTTTTGAGAAGCAGTGAAATCCCTGCATACTCCCCTCATGAAGATTAGGTATTCTTCTAGTGCAGAAATGCACCTTGGATTTAAGAACTGTATGTGCCTACAGCATGCCAGCCTTGCTTGTTGTGGTGGTTAGGACGCGGACTCTAATCTGGGAGAACTGGGTGTGATTCCCGACTCCTCCACATGCAGCTGCTGGCATGACCTTGGGTCAGTCACAGTTCTCTCAGAGCTGTTCTGGAAAGAGCAGTTCTTGAAAGAGCTCTCTCACCCCACCTACCTCACAAGGTGTCTGTTGTGGGTAAAGGAAGGGGCAGGAGATTGTAAGCTGCTCTGAGACTCCCTCGGGTAGTGAAGAGCGGGGTATAAATCTAATCTCCTCCTCCTCCTCTTCTTCTCATTTTAAAAAGCATTTCACTCATTCTAAAACAGAAAATGTTGCATTGGAGTTTTTTTTCAGTACTCCCCAAAATTTCCAGTTGTTCCACTGGAAAAATTGAAAGAAGAGCTGGGGGGGGGGACATGTTTCCCTGTCAATTTTTTTCAGTTTTTTTCTGGGCCCTTTATATCTCTAGATATGATCTCAAGATCCTCGGTTCACTTCAATGGGATGCTTCTCTCTACAGAAATCCACCTCATCTCTCCCATCTCCTTGGTTATGAAGAAGAGATTGGATTTATACCCCGCCCTTCACTCGGAGTCTCAGAGCGGCTTACAGACTCCTTTCCCTTCCCCTCCCCTCAACAGACACCCTATGAGGTAGGCGGGGCTGAGAGAGCTCTTTCCAGAGCTGTCCTTGAGAGAACAGATCATCAAGCAGCTGCAAGTGGAGGAGTGGGGAATCAAACTCGGTTCTCCCAGATTAGAGTCTGCGCACTTAACCACTACACCAAACTGGCTATAGCTGATAGTCTATGCAAACTTCTTCTCTCTGGGGTTTCCTGGACACCACAGGTCCTCTCTAGCCAGAATTCTGTTCAAGGCCTGAAATCAATGGGCAGAAATGGGAAGGCTGCTGACTGAGAACAGGCTCTGAGATGAATACATCCTTGTGCCTTTCTCCCTTATGCTGCTAGCTCTCTTGTGGTCTTTACAGAGGAGATGGTAACTCCTTGTATTTCCCCAGGTCTTTGGGGTTATGTTCAAAAGTTCTGCTGCTTAATGTGTATGTGTTCAGTTTTAACCAGAATTATTATTTTTTATTGTGATTTCGTCGGGTTTTTTTTAAGGTGTAGGAGTTTTTCATGGTGGTTCTGTTTGAAGTTTTACTGAGTTATAAGCTCCCTCATGGACTCAAGTTGGGTTTGAAAAGTGGGATAGACATGTATAATTAAATAATCCTGTCCTTTCCAACACAGCTCTCACTGACACAGGAGTTAAAAATTATGCTCCAGAACTGCGCAGACCAAAAGCAGAGTACAAGGTAGGTGCATTTTGAGTGTGTGGGTTAAAGACAACATGATGGGGAAAGGAAATTTGAAATGGAGTAGTCAAACACTGTCTGAGCAGGTGTATCTCATGATTGTTGGATATCCTTGCTTCATCTTCTTGTTCAAGGTCTGTCTGCTGGATACCCACTAAAAATACATCGCTGGCTGCTTGCTTTAACAGTCTGCAAAGAAACAGAGTTTATAGAGGGAAGAGGCCAGGCATGGAGGCTGAACTCTCTTCCAACCTTTTGAGAGCCTTTGCACGATTAGTAGTGGTTGGAAGAGAGAGGAAAGAGACTTGCTCCTGGGCTTTACTGTGTCAGGAAGAATCCAGTGGTGGACGTTTTAATTCTTATTGGTGTAAATAATGGGTGGTAAAGATAATTGAATGTGTAACCGGATCAGAAGGCAGCCAACACCAGTTGATATCTATGTGCAGTTATTCAGCTTCCTTCCATGTGCTGTTTGTCACCCCATGAATGAGGGCCTCTCAGATGTTAAAGGCATCCTGTGTTCTTACATTTTAGGACTACAACAGTGTCTGGAGCCCTAAAGAGACAGTTAGGCGGCTGCAAAGGGGCAAGGTACGGGGTCTTCCATCACTGCGTCTGAGAAGCTGTATGTACTCACTATGTCTTCCTAAGCAGAGTTATACCTTTCTAAGCCCATTGACTTCAGGAGACTTAGAAGAGTTTAGCTCTGTTGAGGACTGTATTGTCAGATTGTTCCTCACACTGTTGTTGTTTATACCAATGCATATCAGCATAAAGATATGGCTTGTAGTGGCTTTCCAGAATTCTCTGCAGCTGGTGGTCTGGAAGAAAAAAGGGTGGTATAAATTTCCAGAGTTAATGGATGATTATAGCAGAAGTAGCAGTCCCTGACCCACAATGGAAATGTGTCTTTATTGGATAGGGGATTATGGCTCGACCAGCTGTAGAGCAGGTATTTTAAGAAAGCATCCAAGGATCCTGAAAGGAATTCCTTCTTTTGCTGGTAGGTGGAGAGGGAAATAATATACTGTTGTAGGATTGGGGAGGGAGTGTTGCACAGTTTCATCTCAACTACTTTCAGAAACAATAAGCTGATATGCGATGTAAATATGTGTAAGATAGCAAATCGAATAAATAAATAAATAAATAAATAACAATTTATGCATATTGTTTGACTCTACTCAGGAGGCTGCCTAAAATGGGACTTATGGAAGGTGTTTAAGAAGGTAGTTTTGGAGGCTAGGACAAGAAACGTCCCCTCTAGGTGATGTCATCACGCCAGGCACATTGGCACGGATGGGGCTTCCCCCGCGGGCCAGCTAAGGATCCCTAAGCTACAGCAAAGAACTTTACACTGAGATGGACTGAAGTTGTGTAATAGAATTCTACAAACAAATCTGACGAGAGCAGTTTGCCAGGTTTACCTTGAGAAAGGATGGAAATGAGGATCTTTAGCTGGCCCGTTGGGAAGCCTTGACAGTTGCTACGCTTGGACTAAATATACATGAGAAGAAACTGATAAGGAAATAATTAGAAGTGAACTTTTGCACAAGTGCTTTATTTAAAAAACTTGTGCATTATAACCTTGCATGTATGTTTATGTGAATGTGTTTGGCAAACAATATGATTGACTATACAATGCTACACTGAGTAATTATATCACAGCTGTATTTTGGTTCTTCTTAATTTTCTTTATTTTTGGATTTATATCCCGCCCTCCCCAAAGACTAAGGGCGGCTAACAACGAGGCATGAATGCCAAAGTTAAAAGAGTAAAAACAGAATAAAACAATACAATACAATACACTAAAGTGTCGGTGCTCTAAAGGTCACATGGGTCTTTAATTGCAAGATGGGGTTCTGGAGTTACTAATACCAGACCAACAACATACATCCCAGCAGCACTGTCATCCCATCTTCATCCAGGAACGTCTCGCACCCCGATGATGCCCACGAGTGGTGGTAGAGGTGCGGAGATGGAAGATAATGGTGGCAGCGGCTCCTACTCAAAAGCCTGGCGGAAGAGCTCTGTCTTACAGGCCCTGCGGAACTGCACAAGGTCCCACAGGGCCTGGTTCTCCTCTGGGAGCTCATTCCACCAGGTAGGAGCCGCCACCAAAAACACCCTGGCCCTGGTGACAGCAAATTTGATATTCCTGGGGCCTGGAATTACCAGGAGATTTTGACTCCCCGACCGTAGTGCCCTTGAGGGAACATGCGGGGAAAGGCGGACCCTTAGCTGGACCCTGGCCATAACTGCTTTTCCTGTGATCTCTCATATATTGCTGTCTATCTGGGGAGTCTTGCAGTTGGCTGAGAAGGACTGAGAGACTCTGAAAGCTGCTGGAACGAGGATTTGTGCTGCAGAAGCCTCTAATAATAGCTGCATTGCAGTCAGCAGTCACTCGCAAAAAGCAAACTCATGAGCACAGCATCACATTGCTAGCCGTTCAGGGGAATTTTAATTGTGTCCAATACAGGCCCCTAGAAATGGCTTGTGCTGGTGTGCTTGAGTCCCTGAATTGCAGGGAGAGTAGCTTATACGAATATCTATCCAGGTGTCGCTCTGCCACGAATGTTGCAGCCATCACTGTGGTTCAGGTATTCCAGGTGCCTCTCTGCTCCATTGCACGCACCCTCTTCATTTAACATTGTCCCCTTACAGGTCTGTCCACTGGAGAGGTTTCACTCCTTGCAGGAGAAGCTGCTGCTGCTGGACGAAGCTGTTGCAGGACACGATGGCAACGTCATTACAGCTGTGAGTCTTGCAGTGATCTTGCATAAGGGGAGGTTTATGGATGGGGAAGTTGATTTCGTGAAGCCAGCTTCACTGAGCACTGAAAATGTCAGGATGCCTCTTGGTACCCAGGCACCCACTCAGCTTGCCTCTAAGAATATGGATTGTAAATGGGCTCTTTGAAGCCCCTTGAATATTTTCCAGTATGTTCCTGAAATGTTCCTAAATTTAAATACCGTATGCTAGTGTGTGCAGCCCACCTGTAAACAAGCTTTGCAGGTATAAGGCTGCACTTGAATTGATCCCCTGCTAAGAGGTCTTGGGAAGTGGGATAAGCAAGACCTCTCCCTGAACCCATGGGGAGCTGGTCATTGTGGGTTACATGAACCGCTGATTTTAGTGTCTGTAGGAGATGGGTCTCTTATTCTGTTATGTGCCCGGTGACATCAGTTCCAAGTTGATCATCAAAAATGAAGGCAACATATGCCAAGAGCAGATTAAAACATGAATTATAATAAAACCCAGTCCTTCCAAAATAGCTAACCAAATGAAGTATTGAATCATTTCTCAAAGGTGCTCAGTCTTTGTGGTATGTCCTTTTTGTTAGGACGCAAACCTTTGTGTAGCTGTTTTCCCAGACTACTGAGTGCAAAGGAACGTGTCTTCTGTGCTTTGTGTGCTACTGTTTCCCGGATGTAAATAGTCCAGTGCTAAAATAGGCAGCTGGAGCTGCGGTGGCTCAAGTGGTTAAGATGCTGAAGGTCAGTAGTTCAGCAGTTTGAGACCCGGGTTGCCGCATGATGGAGTGGGCTCCCGTCTCTAGTTCCAGCTCCTGCCGACCTAGCAGTTCGAAAGCAAGGAATTGCAAGTAGATAAATAGGTACCACTTCGGTGGGAAGGTAACAGCGTTCCGTGCACCTTGGTGTTTAGTCATGCCGGCCACATGACCACGGAAATGTCTTCGGACAGCGCTGGCTCTTCGGCTTTGAAACGGAGATGAGCACTGCAACCCTAGAGTCGGATTCGACTGGCTTTCAAGCAAAGGAACCTTTACCTTTACATTTAAAATAGGCAGCAAAATGACAGAAAGTAGGGGTGGTGCTAGAGAGGCCTTAAAAGCACTTGAGTGCCACTAAGCTGCCTTTCCCAATGATAGTGCAAGACTTTGGTGGAGATGAACCAGCTCAGCTGAGGAGTCTGTCTGCTTTCTTACAGGTTCTAGTATTTCTGAAGAGAACCTTAAAAAAAGGTACGTGTGGCTGTGAAGTGACTAGATTCAGTGGCGTGGGCTACTTTGGTTGATATTTTATTCCGGTATTTCCCCCCAAAAAAATATGTATGGTGCTGTACTGTAGTTATGCAGCCCTGACCTGGGTGGCCCAGGCTAGATCTCAGAACCTAAGCAGGGTCAGCCTTGGTTAGCGCCGAGGAGGTCCAGGGTTGCTATGCAGAGGCAGGCAATGGCAAACCACCTCTGTTTGTCTCTTGCCTCGAAAACCCTACAGGGTCGCCACAAGTCAGCTGTGACTGGACAGAACTTTCTGCCACAATTATACAAACGTGTGATGTAAGCTGCGCTAAGTGGGAGTGCGGAAGACCAGGATATAAATATTTATATTAATAAAATAAAAGTTAGATTACAAACTCTGTATCTTCCATAGGAGCAGGACAGGTCAGCAGACTTTCCAGGAGACTGAAATAATAGTATCTCTCCATCATCAGCACAGCCATCTGTGCTCACACTGATTTCAGTGCCTGCAGTAAAATTTGCCGTCCCCATGAACTGGAGAAGGGTAATTTCACTGGGGTTGTTTGGGGAGCAGCCTTGCCACAGGAAATGGCCATAGCCTGTATCCATTAGTCATGAGGTGGGGAATGGAGTTGTTCTTCCTCACCAGCAAAATTCTAGGTAATAAACATTTATGCAACTCCATTTCATGTGGCAGTGGTTATTTCAGTGGACATACTGTCAGTGTGATTGCTAGGAGAATGCAGTTTTTCTGCAGCAGAAACATTGCCTTGAGAAAGATATTGGGATTCAGTTTGGCCAGTGAATTAATTAACTTCACAATTCCTGTGTGAAAATATTGCTCTTGTTGGAGCAATGAGATTACAGAAAGTTTAGAAGCTGCTCATCACCCCTAGGCCATGCAGTACAACTAGGAGATGACCCTCAGTACAATAGGAGAGATTGAGTGCTCGTAAATGGCTCTGCGTCTACATGGGGGGAAGTCTTGAGTGGAGTGCCACAGGGCTCAGTCCTGGGCAATGCTCTCTCTAAGCTGTGGAGTCTTGTGAGCAAAAATTCTACTTTGTGAGCTATTGGCATTAAAGCTGTGAGCCAGCAATTTGACTGCTACATAAATTAGTTTGCTCTGGAGCCATCCTTCCTGAGCGAAGACAAAAATGTGTGAGCCGGAGGCTAAAAAACTGTGAGCTAGCTCACACTAACTCAGCTTAGAGGAAACACTGGTCCTGGGCCCGGTGTTCAATGTTTTTATAAATGACCTGGAGGAAGACATAGAGGGGATGCTTATCAAATTTGCAGATGACACAAAGCTGGGTGGGATTGCTAATTCTGAAGAAGACAGAGTCAGGATTCAAAATGATCTAGATAGGCTGCAACAGTGGGCTGAGACAAAATGAATTTCAATAGAGAGAAGTGCAAAGTCCTACACTTAGGCACAAAAATTCAAAGGCACAGATATAGAATGTGAG